GGTTTAAAGCTCATACCTCACAGCAGCACATGCATGCAAACGAGCGCTGGTCCATTAAATATTCCTTTTGATTGGGTTCGAGCTGCATCGATTTAAAATAGCAGCGCACATGCAAGACTTCACACACACACACACACACGCATGTTGTGTTTCCATGTTTTATGGGGACATTCCATAGGCATAATAGTTTATACACTGTACAAACTGTATTTTCTATCCCCTTATCCTAACCTACACCTAAACCAACCCCTCACAAAAAACGTTCTGCATTTTTAAAGGTCTAAAAAACTTCATTCTGTATGGTTTATCTGTATGGTTTATAAGCTTGTTTTCTCATGGGGACCAAAAAATGTCCCAACAAGGATTTTGGATTTTGCCATCTTTGTAGGGACATCTTGTCCCCATAAGGTAGGGTGTACCTGAACCACACACACACACACACACACACATACACATACATTTCTTAAATTTCTTTGAACAGAAATTTAGAACATTTGAAATGGCAGTAAATCTTTTGTACATTATAAATGACTCTACAGTCAGTTTTAATCAATTGAATTTATATAAGCTTGTTTCCTCATGGGGACCTCAAAAATGTCCCCACAAGGTCAAAATTTACTAGTATTACTATCCTTGCGGGGACATTTGGTCCCCATAAAGTGATAAATACCAGGTACACACACACACACGAGGCTAAAGATAATTCAGTTTCTGCCCCTGATGGAAGATTATTATATTCATAACTAGCTCTGTATTAGTTGTGTTGACTTCAGGGAGTTTTAAAATTAATTACAGTCTTTGTGTTTGTTGTTCTGGATGAGCTTAATGGATGTTGTTTTCTTCTTTAAATGAGTTTTCCTCTGTGATATTTCTAAGTGGGGTTTGGGATAATGGCCACTGTGTGTGTGTGTGTGTGTGTGTGTGTGTGTGTGTGTGTGTGTGTGTGTGTGTAGAAACATTTCTTGGAGCACTTTTGGAATGCCATGATAATGAATTTAACCTTGAATCAATGTTACATACATCACACAAATGCCAATCAACTCACGTGTTTGTGTCATTCACGCCGCTGGAGTATCCAGCATCAAGGGGAAACTCTCTCTCTCTCTCTCTCTCTCCTCATTAAGGCATATGGATCAAAGTGCAGGCCTGTCCTCGTCCCCTGTGAGTCTCTGATGTGGCCGTTCTCTGGACTCGATCCCTGGCTCACTCACTGGAACCAACATGCAGCAAAATCCCACTGACATTTGTCCTTTGACTCTATGGCTAGGTTTGGATTACTATTCTGCTTCATTTATTTATTTTTGTCCTATTTCCTATTTATTGCTTTTTTATTAATCAAAAAATTAAATGTTATTATTATATAAAGTATATTATTTTTTATTTTTTATTTTGGTTTTCAGTTCATTTTTAGAAATAAACTACATTATATAGATTTATACTTGGAAAGACATAAAAAATGTTGATAAATGCTTTTTTTTTCCTTTTAATTGGCCATAAACAAACATTATTTATATATTTTATAATCTGATTTTAATTGCATTTATCTTAATTGTTTAAATATAGATTTTTGTATTAAGGAAAAACGTTCGGCCGAAAGATAAAGGATTGATAAATAATTTATATTTTCTAATTTCTATCTAACTTTTTATTCATCAAGACTGAAAAAAGTATCACAGGTTCCAAAAAAATATTGAGAAGCACAGCTGTTTCCAACATTGATAATAAATCAGCATATTAGAATGATTTCTGTAGGATCATGTGACACTGAAGACTGGAGTAATGATGCTGAAAATTCAGCTTTGATCACA